TTGTAGACTGGAGATAGGTGATGTCATATCCCTCCTCCTCTGTTGAGAGAGGGCTGTTCAATTTTGACATAGATGGCCTCTTTAACCCCTCTTTCAAACCAATGATCCTCTCTGTCCAAAATCTCCAATCTATCTCCAATCCACAACACAGTTCTTTTAGCAGTTCCAAGAAGCGTCAACACCAATTTCCAACACTCAGGTGACCCTGATGACACAGATAAACCTCCAGGTGACTTTCACGACCTGCTAAAAAAATGCAAATGACCAGCTGTCTGCAAGGAGTATAAATCCTTCCATTCCCCACCATCCAGTCAGAGCTGAAGAAGCTTCTTGGATGAGATGCAAAATGTCTTCAAAGAAAAACCAGAAAGTCCAGTTGCCCCTTGAAAAAGCACCTTTGGGACGACCAATTGTAAGCCACATTTTTAGTGCAGCTGTAACTTTGAATGGTCGGTGAATGAATTATTGTAAGTTGAGGACTATCTGTATTTTCAGGCAAGTGATGGAGACAGACACCTCTGTTTCTTTTTTTTTTTTATTGAAAAAGTTTTACAAATACACATTTTCCCATTCCCTTTCCCTCCCTAACCCTCCCCTCCTCCCATGACTTCCCCAAGGTGAAATCCAAATCCAAATCATATTATATCATTACCACCCTTCTATTCTCCCCCCTGTGTACTATACATTTCTACATGACATTAAACTATTCTACCCCCTATATACTATACATTTCTATACAACATTCAACTAAAAGCTATCTGGTACTTCCTAGTTTGGTATTTATTCTGCACATACTCTATCCATTTCTTCCACTCCCTTACATAAGTCTCTTGAGTCCGGTCTACACACCTCTGTTTCTTTGGGAAGAAACTGAATTCTCAAGTTGAATAGACTTTGATAGACGCCTCCTCCTTTAAATCCCCAAAGTCATTCAAGTTGGTGGCTTTATCACCAAGTCTTAATGAATTCCACAGGCAATTTGTCTACTTTGTTCATGAAGGCAGAGGGATCTGGGATAGAATAATAAATAAAGTCTCATGTGTGTAGATAATAGATTCTAAAGAGTTTTAGATGGTTCTCATCGGGGACCAAACATGCCCATTATTCTTAAATATACCATCTTTCCCAAAGGATGTTTCCCTTGCTACAAAAAAGAGAATATTCCTCTTTGATGTGTTGCACAAAACACATTGTTGACTGGGATAGTGTTGTGGCCCACCAGTTGCCAGGGAGCTGGCGGCAGAGTCAGATGATAAGGAGGTTGGGGAGGAACTTGGGCCAGTTCTGGAGTCTGGGGAAGGCTCTGCGTCAGACACAGAGCCAGGGCTATCCAACATTTCCCAGTCACTGGAGAGGCCTTTGGAGGCTGATATGAATGAGGAGGAAGAACAGCTGGGGCCTGTTCCAGATGCACATATGCGCAGAGCAGTTAGGAGAGGTGAACAACAGAGGGCAAGGAGTCGACTCGGGAAGCACAGCACACGTGGATGCTGAATGGCCCTTCCCTGGCTGGGGAATAAATTAAAGGAAAGGGGAGTGGTTGACATAGGAGACAACAGTTCGCATTTCTGAAGATTTTGCTCATTGTGTTTCATGCCACAAAGACTGCTTGCCAGAACTTAATTTGCAGCCTTTCAGCTGGGAGCTCACGGCTTTGCAATTATCACAAGGTGCTGATAAGGTCTGTTACTGCAGTTAACTCCTTGAAGGACTCTTGCCTGGACATTTCGATGGGTGAATGCAATTAATTCACAAGAGGTAAATAAAGAGGGGTTTTCGTGACAAGGAGTCTGTTTCTTGCTTCTGCTAAGGCTGGGTCAGAACAGATAGCAACATATTGATTTGGTCCTTCCATTTTGCTAAGCCATATTATTATCTATTTAGCCTGTATATGCATGAACTCAGCTGATAAACCATAGTTAAGTAAGCCATAGCTGTTTGCGAGAAGTAACACCAAGCCCTGAGTCAGACAATTAGTCCATTTAGCTCAATATGAACATCTACGACTGGCAGACATGTCTAGATTTCAAAGAGGAATTTTACCAGGTATATTTGTTGGAGAATCAACCCATCATCTTGTGTTGTTTGCTCAACCTCTGATCTGACTCCCAGGTACAAAATAGTTCGCTTCTTAACATTTCACAATTTACCATATACTGAGACACGGTCCTCATAACAGACAAGAATTTCTCAACCTTGGCAACTTGAAGATGGGTGGACTTCAACTCCCAGAATTCCATAGCCAGAATGCTGGGAATTGATGTCCAATACATCTTTCAAGCTGCCATGGTTGAGAAACAGTGCACCAGATCCTTGTTATCAGAGGTGGCATTCAGCCGGTTTGGACCAGTTCACCCGAACCGCTAGCGGAAATTGCGGGTGGGCCCGCCCAGGCTCTATGCCATCCTATTTAGGCATGTTTTGAGGCTGGGCGCATGCATCTCCTTCCACTTATGACTGTAATTTTGTTGCTTGTATCCTTACGATTTATATTGATATTGTTTCTGGGTTGCTTATTTGTACTCTATGACTATCATTAAGTGTTGTACCTTATGATTCTTGACGAACGTATCTTTTCTTTTATGTACATTGAGAGCGTATGCACCAAGACAAATTCCTTGTGTGTCCAATCACACTTGGCCAATAAAAAATTCGAATTCTAATTCTAATGCATGGAAGGCACGCGGGCCAGCAAAGCACATGCACGGAAGGCCGGGCTCATGCGTGGACAGGATGTGTTAACCAGTAGGGAAAGTAAGTGACTACCGTGTTTCCCCGAAAATAAGCCCCTCTTATATTTTTTTGAACTCTGAAATAAGCGCTTGGCCTTATTGCCATGCGCTCAAAAGCCCGATAGGGCTCATTATCAGGGGATGTCTTATTTTGGGGAAAACAAGGTACCACCCCTGCTTGTTATCCATCACTATGTCTCTTCCCCAACCACTCTTGGTAGTGATGCTGGTTTTCAGAAAATACAATTTTCCAAACATTTTGAGAGATCCCAGGAACTAAATATGGAACGTTCTTCATTCAAAACAGAGGCTTAATCATGGATGATTAAAGATAGGGTGAGCTACTTACAGCCCATAACCCACCTGCCTCTTTCCAGTAAAAATTCTATTATTACTCCCATCAATAATAATATTTATAACATTTAAATAATACTGTGAAGACTTGACTTAATTCCTAGGCCTGGGGTTAAGGTATTGGGTAAGAGATATTTTTTTCCTTGGATGGTATTATATGGTTTTATTGGAGCATAGCAATGGTGGGTTCCTCCTGGTTTGGCCCGGTTCTCCCGAGCCTGTAGTGGTGACGATATGAATTAATAATCTGCTTGTTAAGGGAATCTGGCTTCCCCATTGGCTTTGCTTGTCAGAAGTTCGCAAAAGGGGATCATATGACCCCAGGATGCTGCAATGGTCATAAGTATGAACCAATTGCCATGCATTTGAATTTTGATCACATGTGTGTGGAAATGCTGCAAATGTTGTAGCTGTGAAAAACGGTCATAAGTCACTTTTTTCATAAAGTAACTTTGTAACTTTGAACAATCACTAAAAGAACTGTTGTAAATCGAGGACCATCTGTATTGCTTCTTGTTCTGCCCTCAGGTGCTTTGGAGAATAAGTCATATTAGAATAGAATAGAATAGAATAGAATAGAATAGAAGAGAAGAGAAGAGAAGAGAAGAGAAGAGAAGAGAAGAGAAGAGAAGAGAAGATATAATAAACTAACTAAGAGAAGAGAAGAGAAGAGAAGAGAAGAGAAGATATAATAAACTAACTAAGAGAAGAGAAGAGAAGAGAAGAGAAGAGAAGAGAAGAGAAGAGAAGAGAAGAGAAGAGAATAACAGAGTTGGAAGGGACCTTGGAGGTCTTCTAGTCCAACCCCCTGCTTAGTCAGGAAACACTACATCACTTCAGACAAATGGTTATCCAACATCTTTTTAAACACTTCCAGTGTTGGAGGATTCACAGCTTCTTTTCTTTTACGTACACTGAGAGCATATGCACCAAGACAAATTCCTTGTGTGTCCAATCACACTTGGCCAATAAAGAATTCTGTTCTGTTCTGTTTTATGCTGGAGGCAAGTTGTTCCACTGATTAATTGTTTTAACTATTAGGAAATTTCTTGAGTTCTAGGTTGCTTCTCTCCTTGATTAGTTTCCACCCATTGCTTCTTGTCCTGCCCTCAGGTGCTTTGGAGAATAGCTTGACTCCCTCTTCTTTGTGGCAGCCCCTGAAATATCGGAACACTGCTATCATGTCACCCCTAGTCTTTCTTTTCATTAAACTAGACGTACCCAGTTCTTGCAACCGTTCTTCATATGTTTTAGCCTCCAATTCCCTAATCATCTTTGTTGCTCTTCTCTGCACTCATTCTAGAGTCTCCACATCTTTTTTACATTGTGGTGACCAGAACTGTCAACTGCCTCTTTCCTGTGACAGCTCTTCAAGAATTGGAAGCAAACTATTATCTCAACCCCTAAGCCTTGTCTATGTTTGGCGAAACATACTTTGCTCCCTTAACTGTTCATCATATACCTTAGTCTCCAAACTTTTTATAATCTTAGTCTCCAGTCTTCTTATAATATAATCTCTGACCTCTTTATAGGGCCTCAGCCTTCTTGTTTCTCTTTTTAAATTTGTATTCATTTATAGTGGTAGGCTGCCCAGAATCTTTTCATAGTTGGGCAAGCTCAAAATTTAATAATAAAAATGCATGCATGCATGCATACATACATAATTATATGTGTCGTACAAATAAAATTAAAGTAAGATTGAATCTTGCCAGGCTCAAGGTTGACTCAGCCTTCCATCCTTTCTAAGGTAGGTGAAATGAGGACCCAGTTTGTGGGGGCAATAAGCTGACTTTGTATAAATATACAAAAGTATGAAGGCTATTGCTTAACGCACTGTAAGCTGCCCTCAGTCTCCGGAGAAGGGCGGCATATAAATCAAATTAAAATAAATAAATAAATAGCAATTCAAAAATCCTGTTCATTAGAATTAGTTCACAATTTAACAGCCAAACAAGTAATCAAAGTATTAACAATCAAATGAAAAACAACAACAGTACACATTTTAAACAACACCTGCAATAAGATTGTGTACGTAGAAGTCCATAAAGCATTAAAATAAAGTAGATATTAATTTAGGGCTGCCAGGGTGAATAAGAGAAAAAAAAAGGGATAACCACACACTATATTGTTTTGCCGGTTGAATAAATATCTCAAAATCCCCTCTAAAGACCACCACACTTTCAAAGAGACATTGGAAAGGAAGGAGTTGATTCCAGAGTTGTGGGAGTTTGAAGATCACAACCTAGGAACAGAAGAACTTCCTTAGAAGAACATTCAGTAGTGGCCAAAATTGTGGAAATCTTTTGGGAAAAGTCGATTTTTGAGGTTTGATAGCTAATAACACCACTTTTTTTTTTGGAGTTTCAAGATAATCATATTCCACTGCTGGAATGGCCTGGGAATAGCCCAGACCTTAACCCAATTGAAAATCTATGGAGCCGACTAAAGAAACTTGTTAGTCAGAAGCGACCCAGCAATAAAACCCAGTTAATAGAAGCAATCATTCAATCTTGTTTCACATTATCACAGCTGCAGAACTAAAAGACTTGGTTCACTCCATGGGAAGATATTGTAAGGCCGTAATTCATGCTAAAGGTTACCCAACTAAGTATTAACTGACATGGTGATAATTTTTGTATATCTCGTTTTTTTCTATGGTGATAATTTTTGTATATCTTGTTTTTTCTACGTGTTTCACTTTTCTTCTTTATACTATAACTGCTATTCTAATAGCAAATCCTTCATAAAAGTTATTGCATTACATTCTTGATTAAGTTATCTTTCCATTAATATATAATTTTATGGTATTAGTCAGGGGTAGGATCTACTTACCTTTACTACTGGTTCGCAATGGGATCGCATGCGCAGATCACTGATGATGACATCTGGGGCGGTAGGCAGGGCCTCCCGCTGGTTTTACTACAGGTTCTTGCGAACTGGTCTGAACCAGGGGCAACCCACCACTGGTACTACTCAAAAAAAAAAAAGTTTTAGTTTTAGAAAATACACTTTCCCCAAAAGGTTTCCAAAATTTTGACCACTACTGAAGTAAAAAAAATACCAGCAGAGAATCCCAAAGGTTTTTTTTTTTCCCTCAAGAACTGAAGAAGTTTCTTGACTGAGAATCAAAACATTTTCAAAGAAAAAACGAAGGAAGCCCAGTTGCCATTAGGAGCCTGAGTGGCGTAGGAGGCTAATGCCTCCTAAGGCAGCATTTAACATCCAGCTGCCTGCAATTACTGCAAGTTCAATTCTCCCCAGGCTCAAGGTTGACTCAGCCTTCCATCCTTTCTAAGGTGGGTAAATTGAGGACCCAGTTTGTGGGGGCAATAAGCTGACTTTGTATAAATATACAAAAGTATGAAGGCTATTGCTTAACGCATTGTAAGCCGCCCTGAGTCTCCGGAGATTTAAAAATTTTTTTTTTTTTAAAAAAAGCACCTTTGGAACAACCATGATTGAGAATTTCCATAGACACATCAGCCCATAGATACTGGATTCAGGACCAATGGGCTCTCAACACAATTTGAGCCAGATGTGATTTATGCTGGCTTTGACTGAAACAGGGAACCAAGAATGAGCCCTGCGAGGAAATGAGATTTGAAAATAGCACGGAATGTCCAGAACAACCTGAATGAATTCAGTCTCAGGGATGGAACGAGGTATTTTGAACACCAGCTAAGAGACAACTGCAGTATGGTAAGCAGGAAGCCAAAGAGGTTGTACCAATAAAGCTGCTCTTATCTGGGTCAAAAAAATCTGGACCCTAGGAAGATTCAGCAAATGAAAATCAGTGATCTTGGCTATAAGCTCAGTGACAAAGCATGAAGTCCTATGATCCTTGATCCCAACTCCGGGGCTGTAAGTGGAGGAAATTGGGGTTATCTGGGAACCCCATAGAAAAGTGGGGGGAAAGCACAATAGAGAAAAAGTGATCAGCCAAAATGTGATGTTTTGTGTGTTATTCCCCCAAATTAAAGTGATTGTTTCTAAGCACAAATTGTCTTGGTCTCTCTTCAGCAAGATTTATTGAAAAGAATAGAAAGAATTTACAAAATTCCAGCAATTGAATATTTCTCATTGTTGGAAGAAAAATCAGGTCTTGTTCCAAGCTGGGAGAAAGGCCCTGGAAAGGCCAACTGACTGGCTGCAAGGAAAGGTTTATTTGGATTCCAGAAACTTCATTGACAGAAGCATGTTTCTGGGGTGGCTGAAACCTTGATTTAGGAATGGATGGATTTTTATAGGGCTTTGAGATGCTCCAGGGGGTTGTGCAATATAGTGAGCCTTGTGCCTTTTGCTATCCTAATGGTGATGGGTAAATCCTATTATGTCCTAAAGATCATGTCCTGTTCTTAGAATTTGGGTGGGGGAAAGTAAATTTTAATCCCATCAGGTCCAACCTTCTGTGTGTTTATGTTTATGAATAGATTGGCCCAGACTTCCAAAAATATCCATCTCTAAAGACTTCAGGTATCTGCTGGAAGCTGTTTTACTATTCAGAAAGTCCAGGGCTGCTTTCTGCCTTTAAGAGCATGTTTCTCCATTTTTCCTTTGGGGAAATATAATATTCTGCCTCTTTTAATATTAAAAATAAAGAATATTTTAATCTGGGGAGGGGGGCTTCCTATACCATTGAGAACCAATACTTGGAATATTTCCCATTTAGAACCAATTCTATCCCTCTACATCAGGGTGGAGACTTTTTTTGATTGTCTAACAGCTTTCCTGTGAACTTGTTTTTCTTCTTTAAAAAGGCAGTCTTTTCTTCTAAAAATAACAAGCTTGCCCCTGGCTGTTTATGTAGCAATTTTCTGAATCGTCATCAGTCAAGGAACCAATTCTTACATCCATGTTCAAACTGAAACAATGGGAGACATCCAAGATGAAATACTAACATGATATCTGATTGATGTCGGCCTCGCGGGATGAACTAGATCGGAATCGAAAGTTAAACTAATTCTACTTTATTGTAGAGCTACATTGACAGAGTCTTACAGATTCTTACAGATTCTCAGAGTTGGAAGGGACCTTGTAGGTATCTAGTCCAACCCCCCGCAGAAAACCCTATACCATTTCTGACAAATGGCAGTTGTTGGCGTGGCTTGGTGGGCATGGTGTGGCTTGGTGGGCGTGAACTTGGTGGGCATGGCATGGGAAGGATACTGCAAAATCCCCATTCCCTCCCCACTCCTGGGGGAAGGATATTGCAAAATCTCCATTCCTACCCCACTCTGGGGCCAGCCAGAAGTGGCATTTGCCGGTTCTCCGAACTACTCAAAATTTCTGCTACCAGTTCTCCAGAACCTGCTGGATTTCACCCCTGGTCTCTTCTGACCCCTCCTATTATCCAACTGTGGGATAACCTTGAGTGTTCTCTTGGCAGGATCTCTTTGCCCCATGTACCGAGATCTTTTCCACGTGCCTTCACAGGAACTCCCTCAAGGATTTTAAATAAGAAAAGAGGAAACAGAGACATATATCAGTGATTTAATCACAAAAAGGATGCAAGCGGGGGTCCTTTAACAAAGGATGAAGAACAGCATGCTTACCCGAGTCTGGAAAACTGTGGTTAAAAACAATTCACCAAGTGAGTAATATAGAACACAAAAAGAGAGAGAAGAGTTGGAAAGAAAGATAGGGATCAGCAGGGGAAGTAGTTTAAATAATAATAGTACTATAAGGAACATAAGGACAGCCCTCCATAATTTGTCAAACTCGTCTTGCGGAAAAAAGAATAAATTAAAATGCAGAGGGAGTCGACGATTAAAAAAGATAGTGGAACATCGCTCCTGGAGAGGAAGAAAAAAAGAAAGTACTTGCCATTTGATTTGTAGAAAAAAATGATGAGAGAAGTCCAGTGATAATCTATTTCCTCGTTCAGAATGGAAAAATAGCTGTTACTTGACCTGAGACTGAATAATAGCTGAAAGAAAAATTCCCCGTTTTGAGAAGCCATAAAGAGTCCTCAACATATAACAATTGGGACCAGAATTTCTGTTGCTAAGTAAGGCAATTAAGTAAATTATTATTTACCATTTCCTTCTTCCATTTTTAAAAAACTTTCTAGAATAGATTCCACCTCTGGTTCTTCATAGAACAGACCAAATCTGATCCTTTCTATTTTAACCTAAATAAGGACAACAAGTTGAGCGGTGTGGTTGAGCGCCTAAGGGGTGAAGATGTTTGCCTCCCGCTCAGAAGGTTGAGAGTTCAATCCTAGGTACCAGCAGTTGTTTCTCTCCTAGGGCGCAAAGAAAAAAAAATCCTGCTGCGAACTCCACATAGGCATCAGGAAGGGCATCTGGCCAGTAAATGCTCAGCTCTTTCCAGTTACCCCAACTCTACCCTAAATAGGGACTTACAGGGTCCTAAAAAAAAAGGGAGTCAGGACAACAGTTAACTAGGTTGACATTAAAACCTGCAGCAAAACTGATCAATCCCTGCTCATCAGCTGTTTTGCCTGCATTTGGGCTTTAATTGAAATGTCATGGGGGGGGGAAATGTATGCATTGTGCTCCCATTTGACTTCAGCTTTCCTTCCCTCCTTGCTTTCTATCCATCTCGTTGGCAACCACAGATCGTACTCCATACATCTGATGAAGTGGGCTCAAGCCCAAGGAGGTTCATGCCATAACAAACTCATTTGTCTTGAGGTTGTCACCCAAAGTGCTGTATTTATTATTTCAATATCATTATCCATATACTCTGATACAGATTTTGGAAAATCGACTAAGATAAATGGGATCGAAAGACATCATGCTGTTATTATGATTATTACACTACAGAGCTAGGTCTCGGAGTTATGGTTGCGTTAACAGAGGTGGATCTTGAAGATCAATATAACATTAATATTATTGTTGTTATTGGGCTAAGGAGCTAGAAGCCACACTAAGGGGAAAAACAGAATTCAAGGAATTCTGCATGTCCGTATGATGGTGAGAGATGTTGGCACTGATTTGTAGGTCTTTGAAACCAAACGACAAGATATAAGATTGACAGAAACGGAAATGTCGTCATCAACATCATCATCATTATTATCATTATCATCATGATTGTATTGCATGCTAACTCTGCCCACTGCCAGGAGTTCGATTGTCACCTGCTCAAGATTGAGACTCAGCCTTCCATCCTTCCAAGGTCCGTAAAGTGAGGACCCAGATTGTTGGAGGGCAAAAGGCTGATTCGGTCACGCGCTTAGAGAGGACTGACAAAGTGGCATATAAGTCTTGAGCACATTGTAAGCCGCCCTGAGTCTTCGGAGAAGGGCGGCATATAAATCAAATAAATAAAAAAAAAAGTCTAAGTGCTATTGCCATCATCATCATCATCATCATCGTCATCATCACCACCATCATCAATCTTGTGGACTTCCTCTCAGTGGTGAAATCCAAATTTTTTTACTACCGGTTCTGTGGGCGTGGCTTGATGGGCGTGGAGTGGCTTGGTGGCCGTGACTTATGGGCGTGGCAGGGGAAGGATACTGCAAAATCTCCATACCCATCCCACTCCAGGGGAAGGATACTGCAAAATCCCCATTCCCTCCCCACTCCTGGGGGAAGGATATTGCAAAATCCCCATTCCCACCCCGCTCTGGGGCCAGCCAGAGGTGGTATTTGCCGGTTCTCCAAACTACTCAAAATTTCCGCTACCGGTTCTCCAGAATCTGTCAGAACCTGCTGGATTTCACCCCTGCTTCCTCTCTTCCATCACCCCACCCGGAGTAGAAAAACGGGGAAGGCAAGATGTGGAAACCCTTCTAAAGAGGTGGCGGGTGATAGCAGGCGCGGAAAGGGTTACCGGGACCCCCCAACATTCGGGAACCACGAGGATCGGCCGCTTCCTCCTCCTCCTCTTCCTCCTCCTCCTCTTCCTCCTCCTCCTTCTCCTCGCGTGCAGAGTTTTGACGTGGGCGAGACGAATCGGGAGGAGTTGGAGGGCTTGCCGACTCGAGGCAGGATTGGTCTCCCACCGCCCCCATCTTCTCGGCTGCCAGGGCGCTCGGGCCGGCCGGCTGCGTGGCTGAGCCTCTGCCAGACCAAGGCGAAGCCCCCTCCTCGCCCGCCCCCATTGCTGCGATCTTTCCCCGCTCTGCATCTTCATCTTCATTCATTCATTCGTTCATTCATTCGTCCGTTCATTCATTCATTCATTCATCCATCTCTCTCTTTCTCTCTTTCTCTCTCTCTCTGCCACCGATCCAGCCACCCACCCACCCCCGTGACGAGCGGAGGCGGGCGGGGCCCCTCGGCCATGGCCACCTGCTGCGCGGATTCGCCGCCGAGCTCCACGCACGTCCGGGACCAGCCGGGCGCTCGGGGGGCAGCCGGGCGCACCTGAACCGAACGGACCCCACCTTCCTTCTTTCCTTCCTTCCTTCCATCCATCTATCCTAGCCAGCCAGCCAGCCGGGCGCTCGCACGCTTCCCCCCCCCCCCGAAGGGACTTTATGCGGAGGCTTCCGAGACCCCCTTGGAGGCCGGCGTGGGCTCCTCTGTCTCTGCTTTCGGGGGGAAGAGGTCGGGGAGGAGGAGGAGGAGGAGGAGGAGAGGATCCGGCCGGCAGCCCCCCTAACGGCCTCGGCATCACCGGAGGCGAGGAGGAGGAGGAGGAGGAGGAGGAGGAAGGGGCTCAGAATCTCTACCGCGGAGGAGCAGCCCGGGGAGGCGGGAAGCAGACCTGTAGGAACAGCAGAGCCGCCTGCCTGGAAGGTGAGCCCCGCCGGTCCGACGCCCTTGCCCCGTTTGCAAGAGACCTGATTTTTTTTTCCCCTAGAGAAACGGGCTCGTCAAAACCCGGGGTAGTCAGGGGAGGGGAGGGAGGGGAGGGGAGGGGAGGGGGCGCGGGGTCTCTCCGTTGTGCCCCAAAGGAGGCGCGCCGCCGGGAGATGCCCTCGTTCGTGGGGAGAGGAAGAGGAGGAGGAGGAGGAAGAGGAGGAAGAAGAAGGAGGAGGCGGCGGGTGGGGGGCTGTGACTTTAGGGCAAGGCGGCCGTCGGGGCTGGTTCGGTTCTGTTGCGGGACGCGGGAACCGAACACCTGACGTGGGAGGAAGCTTCACCTCGGCCGACCGAAGAGACCTGTTGGTGCCCGAAGCCGCCGGTTAGAGGGGAAAAAGGGGGGACCGCTGGAGTTGACCGAGCGCCCATCCAGTCGGGGAGGTTTGTGCTCAAGTTTGCACCTCTTGATGCCTGTGCGTATGTCTGTGTGTGTTTGTGTGTCTTGTGTGTGTGGGGGTGGGGGGGGGGGGTTGTGTGGTGTGGGGCGAGTCTAAAGCGGCACCGTTTCCAAGCGGGCTGTGGCAATTCCAGGTTCGGGAACGGACCCCCCCCCCGGGGGGGCGAAGCAGTTGCCGGTGGGAAAGACTTGGTTGAAGATGTTTTGGGGGAGAAACTGGGATCTTTGGGTCGTGGGAATTTGCTACCGGAGTCACAAAAAGGCAAAATAAATAAATAAATAAATACATTTCCTCGGGATCGGAGCTTGCCGCCTTCTCTTGAACACACTTGGCTTCTAAATGTAAAAAGAGGCAAATCTTTCTTCAAGATCTCGTGCCACCAAACGACACCCCCCACCCACCCCTGCCCCCAGCCTGGTGTTACTCTCCTATTTTGGACTTGCAGTGCCCATCGTTCTCAACTGGGGTAGCGGGGTGTTAGCACGAGAGAAATCTCCAGCTGGGGAAGGGAGATGCATTCAGAACCGCCTCTCTTCTCCCCTTCTCCCTGCTCATTTCCGTGTTGTGCTTTTCTCCATCCTTCTCAAGGTGTGTGTGTGTGTGTGTGTGTGTGTGTGTGTGTGGATGCATGCATAATTGTTAACACTTGAGCTATCCTGCCCTAGACAGGTGGCAAAAATGGAAAGGGATGGAAAAAATGTGTGGCAGGTCTTGAACCCTCCACCCCCTGCAAAGGTTCCCCCCCCCTTCCTCCCACAGAGAACACATAACAGATACCTAACATTTCCCCCCTTTTCCAACTGATGGAGAGCTGAAAGGTTGCTGGAGAAAGCCGTTTTTCTGTGCTTCTATGAAGCCGGCGGGCTAGACGGTGTACCCAAAGAGAGGGGTTGTTTTTTTCCCCAAAAATAACTACAAAGTTGCTAAGCATCAGGTAGGATGGTCTCTTTGCCAAGGGCAGGAGGATAGAGGAGTGTGACTAGCATAGAGGTGAGTAGAAAAATGGGGTACCTGTTAAGTCAGGTCTGCACTCTGGCCCTGTGATGCTTGCTTTCTTATTTCTCTTGCCTTTCTTTTATATATATATATATTTTATATATATAATCGCTGTTTGCTGTGGAATTTTTGTGTATGTGTGAATTGTATGCATTTACTCTATAGTATCTGTACACAAGGGAGGACGGGGAGGGGGTGAGGGCTTCAGGCATAAAGGCTCTATCTTGTGTTTTGTTTGCTGCAAAGCAACCTTGAGATCTCTCCAGCCAGAGACCAGTAAAAAACTATGTTGCTAGACTGATTTGTCGCTGATCTTCGATCATTAACAGGTCTTAAGAAACAGATCCGGTATGGAAGCGGATCTCATTCCAAATGTTTTCGCACGTACATGGTTGTCCTGCCGCCTCCCAATCTTTGACCTTTTCAGAGATGGATCCATCTTTTGGGTGGATTAACCTTTGGTAGGTTTTATTATTAAGCACCTGCTTATCCACCTCCAATTTCTGTCCACCCTGGTTTTGCTGGGCTAACATTTGAAGTACAACATGATGCTAAGAGACGGCTGCTCCCACTCTTGATTTAAAGAGGAAGGGCTGCCTCTAACTTCACATAGGAGCGTCAGAAGAAGCTTCCCTACCCTTCAGTTACACTCCCAGTTTCATCTTGGTTTGGATTACCTTTAGGATTGGATTACCAGGCAAAACACCATGTGCATCCTGGAAGCCCTTCAAATAAGAGGCTCTAGGATGCCATGGCTGCTGTCCTTCCAGAGAAGAATGGATAGCTGAGGGGTGGAGGAAGAGGAGTGCTGGAGAACAAACAAACAATAGGTGGTGGTGTAATATGGAGTCTTGGAAGGCGTCTTATCCAGGATCAGACAGATTGTTGCAGTGAAGTGACTGTGCTTTGCTGGTTGCAACAGCTCTCCAGAAGCCTTAGATGTTTCTCAGTCCCATTGCTCTGCACCGACGTGAGTGAGCCTTCAATCTTCCATGGAGACATGGCTTCTGCTGTTCATTTGTCCCCACCACTAGATGTGTGGATGGATCTACGTCTCTCCCTTAAACTTGAATTATCCTTGGGTAATGTTGTGGTATGTGTAGATGGTGAATATCAGGTCCCGCACAAGGCAAGCTGTCTTTTTAATTGCATGAAACCATCTGTTGTTCCTTTGCAAGGTCTCCAGCAGTGACCTTTCCTAGGTTAGGAGCTGACATCCTTGTTAGGATAGACGTGCGTAATTTGGGGACTGGCACGCCTGTAAATGCAGAATGTGCTTCTAATATCTGTGCCCTGGCCTCCTTGATCTTTGAACTTCTGCGGAGATGTGTTGGTAGATGTTTATTTTGTGGATAGGATGTGTCATACGATGATTGGATGCCAACGTGCACGGTACCTAACGCCCACTCATTTCGGGATTTGGAGAAGCAGCAAATGTTTGCAGCGAACGGATGGGGTGAATGGGGAAAGGAATTGCAATCTGCCATAATTCGTACCCACAGCTAGACATAAAATATTCTAAAAAGCCTCACCGTGCAAGGTGATTTTGTAGAGAAATGGGAAATCCTGAGCTGTTGTCTTAATGCTTTTATTTTTGATGAGGAACATTTATTTTTCTCCTTGAGCAAGTACTTGAAGTTTGTGGTGCGCATTATCTGAGCTGTCCTTCCTGCAGTCCATCGTTCCAGGTTTGGGGTATAGTCTCTTTCACTCTGCTTATTCCAGAATAGAATAGAATAGAATAGAATAGAATAGAATAGAATAGAATAGAATAGAATAGAATAGAATAGAATAGAATAGAATAGAATAGAATTTTTTACTGGCCAAGTGTGATTGGACACACAAGGAATTTGTCTTGGTGCATATGCTCTCAGTGTACATAAAAGAAAAGATACGTTCATGAAGAATCATAAGATAGAACACTTAATGATAGTCATAGGGTACAAATAAGCAATCAGGGAACAATATCAATATAAATCGTAAGGATACAAGCAACAAAATTACAGTCATACAGTCATAAATGGAAGGAGATGGGTGGTGGGAATGATGAGAAGATTAATAGTAGTGCAGACTTAGTAAATAGTTTGACGGTGTTGAGGGAATTATTTGTTTAGCAGAGTGATGGCGTTTGGGAAAAAACTGTCCTTGTGTTTAGTTGTTCTGGTGTGCAGTGCTCTATAGGGTCGTTTTGAGGGTAGGAGTTGAAACAGTTTATGTCCAGGATGCGAGGGGTCTGTAAATATTTTCACAGCCCTCTTTTGACTCATTCAGTGTACAGGTCCTCAATGTAAGGTAGGTTGGTAGCAATTGTTTTTTCTGCACATGGGCTCAGTCCATCTGCTTTAGAACCTCTTATTTCCATTAAGTTGCATGCCTTACCATTACACTTGGGACCATTTCTGTTTAATATCTAGAAAGATTCAGAAAAATCCATGTACACTTGACAATCTAGGGCAGTGATGGTGAATCTTTTCGGCACCGAGTGCCGAAAAGGGAGCACACGTGCATTTCTGGGCCACAACCCAGAAAACGAGCTACCCAGGGCACATGCGCGCGCCCAAAAATGAACTTTCAGGTTTCAGCTACTGAACTTCCGGTTTCAGCCAGCTACTCTTCCGGATTTCTGGCATGCATGCACATGCGATGAATAGCTGGCCAGTGCGCATACTCACATAGGAAAATAGAAGACCAGCTAGAAAATCTTCTAGTTTCCAACACTGCTGCATGCAAAAAGGCCAGCTGATCGTCGCGCGCACATGCGTGCAAGAAACTTGGAAGATGAACGGGCAAGGCCGTACGTGCCAGGTGACATGGCTCCACATGCCACAGGCACACGTGCTATAGATTCACCATCATGGATCTAGGATAAGGCTAAAACTGAGCAGCAGTGGTATAATCCATTGGATTAGGTCTCCAGAGACCCAGGTTCAAATCCACTTTTAGTCATGGAAAGCTTATTGATCAGAGAACCAATCTAGAAATAAGGAGACATTTTTTCACAGCTTAGAACAATTAATCGGTGGAATGACTTGCTCTCCAGAGGTTTTGGGTGCTTCATCACTGGAGGTTTTCAAGAAGAGCTTGGACAGACATTTGTCAAGAATGGTATAGTTTCTCCTGCTTGAGTAGGGGGTTGGACTTAGAAAACCTCCAAGATCCCTTCCAACTCTGTTGTTCAGTTTCTCAGTCAATTTCACAGGACTATTGTGGGGAAAAATTGGAGAAGGGGTTTCTATGCAAGCTGCCATGAAATCCTGCATCTCGCATCGTTTTCTGCAAGCTTAGATTCATGCATGTGAATCTAATGTCACCTGTCTTGCAAGAGCTTAATTGGTTGCCTGTTTGTTAGGGGACTGGAGGCTAAGACATACGATGAACGTTTGAAGGAACTGGACATGGCTAGTCTAGTGAAGAGAAGGACCAGGGGAGACATGATAGCAGTGTACCAATATTTGAGGGGCTGCCACAGAGAGGAAGGAGTCAAACTATTATCCAAAGCACCCAAAGGCCAGACAAGGAATAATGGATGGAAACTGGTCA